TAACATATTTTAAAATATGATTTTGACATGTGGATAGTCATACAGGGAAGGAGTATTAAAAAAAAAAGGAGTATTATGATCGATATATAATACAAAACAACTGTTTAATTATGAATTTATGAGAGTCCAAAATGATTGAACAGAGATATAAGCATCACTGACTCACTAAAGAACTTTTCAGACAAAGGGACATGGCTTTTCTCCACTATCTAGCTAGCCCAATCTATTTGTATATGTGGTAGATTTCGACTATACATGTTAAGAAACTCACGTCTGAAATGAAATGGAACGGCTTATTATAAATTATACAACATGATATAGAAGTTTACCTAAAGTAAATACCAATCATTTATAATGAACTAAAAGTAAAGTGATAGCTGATGCTGATTTTAGTGGTGATAATTTACTTGTAATCGTCTTATTTCGTTGAAAGTTTGAAACTTTGTAAAATGATTTTCTCTAGACCTAACCGTTAATTTATTCAGAATTTTTCAGACAATTATGAAAATGAATCTGATTCTCTTGTCCACAAAGACACTGACAATTGGCAAAGGCTTTCCTTTCAGCACATGACTCTCCTCTCTCACCATTTCGTTTGTCAACTCTCACTTGATAACCAATCATTTTCGATTGCTCATTTTTTCGTAACTATTTTCATTGTGTACCGTCTTAAGAAAATATTTTCTTATAGATTCTCGTAAAGTATTATAATTTGTAGACATGGTTGAAGTTTCGAAACTTTAGTCATAATTTACTCGGTATTCGAATGCAATTTTTGGATATTCTGATTTAAAAAATAATTCTCCAATCGAAAGGAGGTTTGAATCCGAGATACAAATTAACCAATTCTCTTGTGTTACTACTAAACCACCACACTTTTGGTATGAATTACATGTTTATATCAGACATTCACACACATGAATATTACAATAGTTAACCAAAAAAAAGTTTAGGTCTTTACGTACTACAAGTTTTGTTTCTTCTCCTTAACCCTTTTAAATTGGTTAGAGGGAAAAGAAGGCATGTGTACAAAACCCTCATAATACGGAATCATTGCATGCTAACAAAAAACAATTTGAATACGTTAAAAAAACAAGTTGATTTATAATTCAAAAGTCATGTATGTCATTTTCGTATACACGTTGGTTTGATTCACAAGTTACAATATAGGTTACAAAATAAACCGAAAATTAGGGAGATTTGGAAAAAAATAGACAAATGGAAAAAGACGCTTTCGTTACACACTGGAAAAGAGGGGGGGTCATCTTCATCTTTGTTTGTGACACTTCTCCTTTTCCACTTTTCAATCAATGTTTAATTATTTGCATCCTTTTTTCTTTACTTTCATCGTTCTTTACTTTTAAAAAAAAACTTACATAACAAAAAGCAAATTCTTACGAAAGATAAGAAAAAAGAGTAATACCTTAGAACGTAAGGTAAAACTTAAAAAGAGTAGGTGATATTTTCGAACAACGATATTTATAACTAGCAATTAGCATTCTCATTTCCAAATCAATTTAAGAATGTAATGTGTACGTATTCGTAATGAAGTTGCATACTGACTCAAATAAATACATACACTGATCATAGTCAATACGTAAATAGTTTTGACGTCGTAATGAAATTGTATATTGACCGAATAAATTCAAAGGTTTTAGTAAATAGTTGTAAACTAAAACCTTTGAAATATGGGGCAATTACAAAAATGCCATTTTTTGTGTGCACATTTGCAATAATGCCACTTAGGAGTGTTCATTTGCAAAAATACCACTAATTATAGATTTATAAAGCCTATATCTAAAAATTCTAAACCCTAAAAAATATTTTGACCCCTAAAACTCCCTAAACCCTCATAACTAAACCCTAATAGAACATAATTAACTCAAATATAAATGATAAAAAGAAAAAATAATTTTGAAAAAATAATTTTGAAAAAATGGCATTTTTGTAAAGATTTCAAAAGTGTGGTATTTTTGTAAAATTGCATTTGAAAAATAGCATTTTTTGAAATTTCTCTTGAATTATCACAACCTTTTATACTTTAAACATCATTTTCTGGGGACCAATTCATATATGGTTTATAACTTTAGTTAAAAATAAAATGTTCCTTGTAAGATGTTTGGTATTTCTTTAAAGTTTCGAGCATTAAATTGGTCAATGCAATATCTTATCTTTGCAGTAGGAAATATTGACTGGAAAACAAAATTACTATTACTATCCTACATAATTAATTTAGCTATCGGATAAAACTTTAATCAAATAATAACATTAATAATATGTCTCACACTTGACATACCTGAATCTATGTAACATTTAATAATAAGATGACTTTTAGTATGTTTTCTTTATCATATCTAATTGAATCCAGCTATCAAATGGATGTCCTTTTATTGGTCTTAGATTACGATCATTATATCACCGCCTGGTAATCGTGATTCTCGAAAGTAATCTGAACTCTTAAAACTGGAAAGTCCGATCAAAAACTATTTATATGGCATGTGATAAATTGTTTATTTAACAAAAACCAAAAGGTTATAATTTGCTTAGACGATGGAAACGTAATTAGTGCGGATAAAACATGAATACACCAACTATATAAAAATAAAGTCAAAACATACAATTATTACTCATTGACTATCCCAACTATAAAAATTGCAATAATCCAAGTGACCATATACAAAAGTTGGATCCACAACCAAAACGATAAATAAGTATTTTTTATATATACAATAGATACATCACACTTTTTAAGAATTTATTACAAACGCAAATGTAAGAAATGATAACAACATACGACTAACTAGACTGCATCAAATTCAGAAATTTGCC